TTGTTTAAAAAAAAACAGTCCTCACGGTGGCGCGCATGCATTTTCGATCCCCATTGTGGTTTACAGAAGCGCGGAACAATGTGAACGGTGTCCACGATAGTGTCGGTTGAAACGACGTTGCTGTGCTGATATCCATTCGCCTTCTCCCATTTCAATTCCTTGCAACCTGTCACGTGTTCCCGTTCACTGTCAACCTCTGTGTACCACTGCACAAAAACGCACTTGTGTTCCACATTACCGCCGTCTGTGGGTGCATCGACGACGAAAAACATGGCCACTGATGCGAACCACGTACATTCGTTGGCTGCTCTTATTGCGACGTCGCTGTGCACTGGTCTCCCGTGGAACCGCGGCGACGCTCGTGCAGTTTGAACAAGTGTGCCCCTGTTTGTTTCGTCCTGCGTGCAAGCGATGACGAGATGTGTTCGTGTGTGTATAGCGAGATCATCAGGAGGAGGTTGACAACCATTCTCCGCCATGTACGTCGTAATCGCTGCTCGAAAATCGGTTCTGAAAGGGAGCTCTTCAAGTATCTTACACGCATGACTGTCAATGCCTTCCACCTCGCATATCTGGTCCTAATCGATGTCGAACCAGCGCAGTTGAAGGATTGACGTATTGCGTAGTGCCAGGGTGTTCATCCCCGTTGCCATACAAATCCGGTCACAGAAGACCTATTCTCGACGGCCCTCTTCCTCTTTTTCCTCACAAATCCGATCTCCTCCTGCAACGCCAGCGACCGGCGCACGTGGTTGACCATCTGGGTTGACGCTTTCCTTTTGTTCGATGACATGTACGGTTGTTTGCAGAATCTCCTGTGGTGATGCTCCCAAACGTCTGCAGCGACACCCACTTCACTCAGACCGTACTTCTCGACAGTTTCCGTACAGTGGCGAAAGCAGTCCTCGGTGAAGGCTAAGAGGTCAACGACGCTGCGTACCGTCGTAGGTAGCGAACCTGTGTTGTAATCTTGGCTATTGTACGATGCCCACCCCTCCTTCAGCACACACTTTCCGCAGCTGGCAAGACACATGACATCCCCTCCGTCTGACTCCCCGTTTGTTGTCTTCGTGATGTGGGCGGAGAGCCGCTTCAAGACTGCGGTGCGCCTTTCCCTTTCAATATTCAGCCATGCCTGAAACTCGTCGAACGTGGTGTTCTTCGTTTCAGCAATTGCCTGAAGTCTGGCTGACATGGCCTCCCTCAGACGAGTAACGTCTATATCTTTCATGTTGTCAAGCAACAACCAGAACACGGTGAACATCCTGTGCTCCGCAGTTTCTGTCATTTCGTCGAGGAGCGACTTGAGGCGGCGTAGTTCGTCTGACATTTCTCTAAGCAGTACTTTCTGCTTATGCACCTCCTCTCTTAGCCTGCCTATATGTTATCGGTCGTTAACTACAGTCCGACCCCTGTTTCGATCCGTTTCAGGTGTCTTATGGTCTTTGCCGTGTGGGGGAAGGAACTCATCCATCCTTGCATGACACTCTCCGCCCAGCTTTCTTTTCTGTCCGGTCGTGGTGAACCTTGACATCTGGAAAGCATTGTATATACAGAGAAATACGTGGACACAGCAAGAGAGAGAGAGAGAGAGAGAGAGAGAGAGAGAGAGAGAGAGAGAGACAGAGAGGGAGCCTCACTGCTTCCGTACAATGGCGTCAACGGGGACCTACCAAACACTCTGTATGTGTAAATGTAATGTGGGAACACTAGTATTTACTACTTAACATCTGCGTCCCCCCCCGTACATGAGTCCATACATCACTGAACAACACGGCACAACTCCGACATGGCAGACCCTTATTTCGAAACGCAAGCGTCAGAACCAGGAATTAAGCAAGACATGAACGCCAGAACGCATGCAAGTTAACACATATAAAACAGTTGCGACAGAGACACAGAGAGAGAGCCCTATTCCGGACCCAGAGATAGAGACAATCGCCACGAACAAAGAAACTGTTGGATGGTCCGCCATTCTGATGTTGACCGAAGTTGGCTACTGCGGGCCAAAAATACACATATGCACATCGATGCATGTGCTGGTGGCCCGCAGTAGTCAACCTCTCTCTCTCTCTCTCTCTCTCTCTCTCTCTCTCATTGCTATGAAAAAAGCGAAAGAAATGACAACCTTGCAAAGGGGAAAAAAATAATTATAAAGACGCACCCTCCTTCTTTCTCTCTCCCTATCTTTCTTTCTGTCTTTTTTTCCTTCTTTCCCTCATTCTTTCTTTCTTTCATCCTTCCTTTCTTTCTTTCTTTCTCTCTTTTTTAACTTTTTCATTCTTTATTGCTTTCTTTCTTTCTTTCTTTCTTTCTTTCTTTCTTTCTTTTTAATTTTTTTCCAAAAAACCTTCCAAATCGGTGGGGAGTGTGCAGGAGAGGAAAAAAGAAAGAAAGAAAGAAAGAAGGAAAGAAAGAAAGAAAGAAAGAAGGAACGAAAGTAAGAAAGAAAAGAAGATCGAAAGAAGAGAGAAGAAGAA